TCTAAAACTACCACTTCAATCAACTAGAATCAGACCTTATTCCACTGCTCTTGTACATGAAAGAAAAGATGATACGCCACAGGCCCACATGCAAACAGGTTATCTCTAAACACGGGGCTCACGAAGAAGGCAGTAGTTCAGTTTTGCTCCTATCAAAACATTTTAGTACTGCCAGCAGCAATCAGCCTGCTACCCAGGAATGTACTCGTAGTACCATGGAAAGATGCTAAATGGATTACTGAATCCCAGAGGACAGCAGTATGAACTGCAAATACAAACCATTCTGGCTTTTGTTTGAAAGAATGGTAACTTATTCATAGCTTCCATCTGTGCTATTAGCTCACATATTTAAAGCAGAATTGAAAAACGTTCTTAAAGCATGCATGGAACCATCCACAACTATCTGTTTGCTTGTTACTGTGCACACACTTCATGAATCACTCTTTAGCCTCAGGTTGGAAAGGATAGGGCACTGAAAAGAATGGTGGGCAGTACAGGGATACTGAATTGATATACCCAACAAGCACACAGGATTACAGTGCATGTTGTCATATAACATTAAAAAGAAGTCTATGTTTCTACTCTTTAAGAAGTCTCTATACCTCAGTCAGGAGACAGAAGATATATCTGTAAAAGAACTATTACACATCTGATAGAGCATCAACAACCAAAATTATCAGCATATTTTAAAAAGAAAAACCTATGTAACCAAAGACAGCAGGAAATAGAGAAAGCAGGGCCACAAATGGAAGACCAGATCAATGCTAGCACAGTGTATACACTTAGCAATGCTAACCCAAGGGAAAGTTTTTAAGAGTGAAAAAAATGAACTAAGTTAATCATGTAAATTACTTCATAGAAATGAAATAAGGCAATTTCCATATAAATAGCTAATTCTGCTCCCTAAATAAATATATATCTAATAAGGAAGTATGATATACTTCCATTGCGCTCTACTTTTGACATTTAAGAAAACTCTTTTGGGCTAGGTGTTTGGCCCAATGGCGAAGATGTTGACTAGGATGCCCACACACCACATCAGAGTACCTGGGTTTGATTCTCAGCTCTGGCTGGTGACACAGACTCTCGGAGGTGACACTGATGGCTCAACAGGTTGGCCTTGGACTGGGTCTGGTCCCTGGGATGGCTATTATTGGAAGCATTGTGGAAGTAAACCAGACAAGAGATCTGTCTCTTGAAAATATACAGTTCTTTGAAACTTAAATGTAGTATTTACCTGTCTTAATTCTAGTAAACATTTCAAGATATAAGCCTTTTTTGAGAAGAGGAAATTTTAAAAACATACAAAGACTAAAAAACAAAAATGTGTAATTTATATAGAGCTACTGGGGTGGTGGTTGAAAAGAGGAAGAACTTTGCTGATAATGTGCACATGAAGAAACAGACCTGAAGACCAAACATGCTTTTTACTCAGCAATGGCTAAGATGCCAGCAACTACATGCAAATGTCTTGATGGGTGAGAAATGCATTAGGTTTCATTCTGTTCAAGCCCTAGTGTGCCCAACACACAGCCACCTTAATTCCTCCCTCGAGGCTGAATCATAGCCACGGTGAACAGAAAGGCTGACCTAGTCCTCTGTGCTAAGGACAATCACAGTCTGCTACAAGGCCAATAGCAACAAGACATTCAAAAACACTAGCAACGGTTCCAGGATTTTTTTTTTTAAAGACTAGTTTCCTTGAAGGGTAGGGTGACACATACAGATACAGAGATCTTCTGTCTTCTGGTTTAATCCTCAAATGGTTGCAACAGCCAGCACTGGGTGGGGCCAAAGCCAAGTTTCTGGAATTCCATCTGGGACTCCCATAAGTGTGGAAAGGACTCAAGCATTTGGGCCACCCTCCACTGTGTTCCCAAGAACATCAGCAGGGCGCTGCACTGGAAGTCAGCAGTCAGGGCTTGAACTGTTGCTCCAATAAGGGATGCTAGTGCTGCATGTGGTGGCCCACACACACACACATGCACACGCACAACCGATATAGAGATAAAGTCCACTCCCCTAATGTCCATAATGGCTCCAGGTAGGTTTAGACTTGGGAACAAGGAACTTCAGTCTAGGTCTCTCCCACTGCTGACAGGAACCCAGTGATTTGCCACACCACCACTGCTCTCCACAACTTCCTCCAGTTTAGCAGGAAGCTGGAGTCAGAAACGGGAGCTTGGGATGAACCCAGGCACCCAGCTATGGGGCACAGACGTCACATCTGCTGGGCTGAACACGCGCCCCAACATCTCTAGTCATTCAACATGGACAGAGGCAAATGGAAGCAAGGGTTTAGGAGAGATTCTAATTTTTAAATGAGACTGGAAAATTGAGGCTTTTATATTAACCTCTCAAGCACTTGATACTTAGCAAACAAAATTAAAAAGCATCACATTAAAGTGACAGCACCAGTAAGGAAGAAGAAAGCATCATTTCTTTTTTTGCACGAAGGCACTGCTGCATCATTTCCCATGCTACGCTACAAAAACAACCATTCACTTCCACAGCACATGCCCAGGGATGGATTCCCTCGCCTTCAGCTAGAACAGCAGCCAGACCTCACCTCTTACACTCCATCAGAACTTGCTGTTTCCCTCATTGATTTAGGAGAATACACACAACACCTCGGAACTCACTGTTAAAATGACCACTAGTTGAGGGGAAGAAGATTAAAGTAAGTATAAATGATCAGAAACTAGGTTACAGTCAAACTGTGGATGTTGAAGACTTTATAATGTTTTCCTTCTGAAATGCAGTAAAGAGATTTCTAAGATGACCAACACCCATTGAGTCACTGTCTCCTGATGGTTCTAACCCAACCCCTTTGAGACATTCCTATTAGGATATAAACTGGTATGTCAGTTTTTCACTCTACTGTTATTTGTATTATAGAAAAGAATGTAAATATTAAATATATAAATGTAAACATAAAAATATTCAAAATCCAGGTAAAAATAAGACTGTGACTTTCCACACGTTGAATAATGTCACATCAACAGCCCAGTCAGTCTTGACCATAAAACAGATACTCTACTAACGCACTGAAACATGAACACAGCCACCCAAGAAGCAAAATCATTACAGGGGTCCAGGGAGGAGAAACACGGAGGCTGTGTACGGTTCTAGTACTTAATTTAGAGGAAATGTGCGAATTGAAAAGCCGTCAAGGTGAAGCAAAGGATGCTGTGATCACGGGGTGACGGAAATGGGACTCTCCGATGTTCTGTCACCGGATCTGATCACAGACGGTCAGATACTGCCACCTCAGCAAAGTGCTATTCTAACACATTGGCCATCTATATACTCAACGAGCCAGTACACTCCAGTGAGATCAAACCACACTGATGTGATTAGGAAATACGGAACAAGACTTACTACTGGGATTCTGAGGCGTGGGGACTAATTGGTGCTTCTGCCACACTGACTGCAGCTTCAACGGGATCAGCTACTACCGAGGGGAGGGGAACAAAAACACTGTTAGCCAGCGCTGCGTGTTTGTGTAAGCACAGCGCAGGAAGCGAATTCATTGCACTCTCCTCATTCGAGCCAGCATTTTAAGAATTCCCTCAGTATCTTGCCAGATTTTCAAGAGAAGGGCTACACGCATCAGAGTTAACTGGTATGATAGGCCATGGGAAAATAAAACCAATAAGAAATCTTTCTGTTCCGCACTTCACAGGGCTGTCACTCGTACTAGGAAAACGTCACTTTGAAGCCCTGTTTGCATTCCATTTTTAACTAGAGGGAAGAGGATGGAGGTCTTTGGTTTCTATGACAACCCAGATGGGCCATAATACAAGATACTTACAAATGTTCAATTGCAGGGATGCCAAATCAAATTAAGGCAGAGTTAGCACTACTTCATAAAAACTAGATGGGGAGAAAACAAAATACTTGAGGCGAAATGATGCCATTTCTAGAAGTGGTTTTGAAGGATGAGAAAATACAAGGAAAAGAGTAACTATTTTTAGTAAAAACAAATAAAAGAATAAAACTAATATGTAAAAGTAAAGCACCAGTTTATATGAGTAAATGCTTTCATTAAAATTTGACTACTGGAAAATTACTACCCCACTTAATGTTTTAAAAAGTCCTTCTCAAATAACATGAATTTCATTAGTCATTTAAATCATTACAATCTGGCACACTGGCTTGGTTTTAAATGGGAAGCTGAGTGACTTTGTTCCTGTGCTTCACCCTTACAATCCATTTCTGTATCTGTCTGTCATAACTAGCACACACAGACCTCTAAATAATTGTGGAACGGCTGAGGCTCAGGAAGAAACTAATTTGAAAGCTGTACTTACTACAACTTGTGAAATTTTAAACCTTGCAACAGTCATTTACCCTATCTCTGAACAGTTCTACACTATGATCTGTGTGAGAAGAACCCTCAGGAGATACTTCCTGTTTCGAAGGTACAATTGTGGGGTGGTGGTGGAGTACCTAACTACAGGCCTTTTTATTTGGAGGGGAAAAACACTTTATAGACAAACTTAATAATAACCGAGTAAGGTAAATGATTTAGATCATGGATTTCAGGGAGAGAGGATGATAAAGGGCCCAGTCCTCCAAAAAATAGTGTGTGCACGTATACACACACACACACACACACACACACATGGTCTGTACCCTGTACATTCCAGGGAATTTATAGATACCGCCCTCCACCATGCACACACAAAAATACTTTCCCTATAGTTTACACTTACTCAAATTCCTTCTTCCCAAATGCCAAATGACACAAAGTATCACCTAATTTCCTTTTAAGCATTTATTTATTTCACAGGCACAGTAGCAAAGAGAGAGGTTGGGATTGAATCTTCCATTTGCTCATCATTTCTCAAATAGCCATAAGGTCAGGGCTGGGCCAAGCTGAACCAGGAGCCAGGAACCCATCTGGGTCTCCTATGTGCACAGCAGGCTCCCAGGCCCTTGGGCCATCCTCTATTGCCTCCTCAGATGTATTAGCAAAGAGCTAGATTTGAAGTGGAGCAGCTGGGACCTGAATTTGTGTTCTGATATGGGATGCCCATGTCACAAAATGGTAGCTTAACCGGCCTTGTTATGCCAGTTTCCACCTAATGTTTTTATTTTTTATTTCATTTGATTTCTAAAAACCAACAGAGAAATTTGTTTGATTTTTTTGGGGGAAGATTTATTATTATTTTTATTGGAAAGGCAGATTTACAGAGAGAAGGTGAGTTAGAAAGATCTTCCATTTCCCTGGTTTACTCCCAAAGAGGTTGCAATGGCTGGAGTTGAGCTCATTTGAAGCCAGGAGCCAGGAGCTTCTTCCAGGTCTTTCATTGGGTGCAGGTTCCCCAGGCTTTGGGCCATTCTCTACTGTTCTTCCAGACCACATGCAGGGAGCTGGATGGGAAGAGGAGCAGCTGGAACACGAACTGGCACCCACATGAGATCTTGGTGAATGCGAGGTGAGAATTAAGCCACTGAGCCAGGTCCCCCCCACCCCCACCTAACGTTTTTATTTCTTTGTTTAAGATTTATTTATTTTTATTGGAAAGTTAGATTTACAGAGAGAAGGAGATATAGAGAAAAAGATCTTCTGTTTGCTGGTTCACTCCCCAAGAAACTGCAATGGCTGGAGCCAAGCTGATCTGAAGCCAGAAGCCAGGAGTTTCTTCCATGCCTCCACATGGGTGCAGGGTCCCAAAGTCCTGGGCCGTCCTCCACTGTCTTCCCAGGCCACAAGCAGGGAGCTAGATGGGAAGTGGAGCAGCCAGCACATGAACTGGCGCTCATATGGGATCCCAATGGATGCAAAGCAAGGACTTCAGCTACTAGGCTTCTGCACTGTTGTCCTCCCACTAACATTTTTTTTTAAAGATTTATTTTATTTTTATTGGAAAGGCAGATATACAGAGAGGAGAGACAGAGAGGAAGATCTTCCGTCCAATGATTCACTCCCCAAGTGAGCGCAACAGCCGATGCTATGCTGGTCCAAAGCCAGGAGCCTCTTCCGGGTCTCCCACGTGGGTGCAGGGTCCCAAAGCTTTGGGCTGTCCTCGACTGCTTTCCCGGGCCACAGGCAGGGAGCTGGATGGGAAGCGGGGCTGCTGGGATTAGAACCAGCGCCCATATGGGATCCTGGGCGTGCAAGGCGAGAACCCACCACTGCGCCACTGCGCCGGGCCCAACATTTTTAACATTAAGTAGATTGGTGGTACCTTTTTACTTAAATTGTAAGATGAAATTAATTAAATGGATAAATCGGTTATATAAATTTTACTGAAGATTAAGTCAGATAATTTTATCTCTTTTGGACTTAGAACGTCAGGCAAGTTTGTTTCTATGATGTTTCCTCTTCTCTATATATCATAAATCCATTTCAAATTACTCTGAGAATGAAAAACCAGATAAACGTTTCCTCAGCAAGACCTTATTAAAAACTCAAGATATTTCTTGGTTTGAAAAGTGAATCTATATATTAAAAGTTCCAGTTATATAAAACTGGTCTTGGAAACTTCATACTTACACTGAAAAAAAAATGGGCTAAAGTTTACAAAATTCTAAAACATGGGATGCTGGTTTTCTTTTCATTCTTCAGCCTCTTTCAGTGTTACTCTCTCCTAAAATGACAATCATAACTTACCTCCTTCCACACCCCACTAAAAGAAAAAAATAAACCTTTCATAAGAATAAAGTTCTAAAATATGGCGTTAACGCTATGGCACAGCATGTAAATCTGCCACCCACAGTGCCAGCATCTCATATGAGCGCTGGTTCAAGTCCTGGCTGCTCTACGTTTGATTCAGATCCCTGCTGATACGCCTGGGAGAGCAGTGGAAGATGGCCCTAGTGTCTGGGCTCCTGTACCCATGTAGGAACCCAGAAAAAGCACCTGCTCCAGTCCAGTCCAGTTCTAGTCGGATTGCCATTTGGGGAGTGAACCAGTGGATGCAAACACTCCCTTTCTAACTCAGTCTTTCAAATAAATTAATTAATTAAAAAATTAATAGTTTAAAAACATCAAGTATTTGTAGAACTAATAGCACTAAATAATAAATTCGCCAGTTTTTTTTTAATTGATGAACTTTGGTTTTTAAGATACTCTGAAGGTGCTGCACTGCCTGCCACTGTATGTTGGCACTGGCGGGAAGGCCACGGTGCAGGAAGGCTCCCCCGTTCTTACCAGGAAGATGACTAATACTTACACGAGATGAAAAGCAAGAATGATCTGTTCTGTAGAAGAAGCAAGGATGGAAGCCTGAGCATGGCTCGGCACCGATGAAGACCTACCTAATTCAGGAGGTTCTGGCAAGGCTGGTGAACAGCCCCCAGGCATGCGCCTGTCAGAGCTTCATTAGACCATAGACATTTGGCCTTTATCAATTGCTTCCTATGCCAGGATTTCCTTTTGGAGTGTTGCAACCTAATATCCTTCACCCAGGCAATCACAGCCCGTTTTGGAAAGGTTCCCTCTTTCAGGAATCTCAGTGTTATATTCACTTAGAAATATATCTTTATGAAAATATGTATCATTCCCAGGACAAAATGCTTTGATATATTAAGTTTCAGCTGTAAATGATATTTTTAGAAAAGTGGTAATTTCAGAGTTTCTGCCACAAGATTACAGTTGTGTTTCTTTAATGGATCTACAATGCAGAGAATTTTAAAAAATATACCATGAATACAATTCTTCCTCCCTTTTTCCTTTCCCCACTATATTTAAAAATTACTGAGCATGTTTCCCTTAAATTTTTTAAGTGATCAAATTATGCATATTGATAAACTGCCTCATCTCATACTCACTTCCATTGAAACCAAGTAACAGTGCAAAGCAAGAAATCTTAACAGTCAATTCCTAAAGAAAAGATCTAACACCATGGATGGACAGAACAGATCTGAGACCTTTTAGACACAGAACAAATTTGGAAAAAAATAAATACATAAAAATACTTGACTAAATAAACATTTAGTTATGCATTTGAAAGGCAGGGTTAGAGAGTGACAGAAAGTTGAACATACAGAGAGAGAGAATGAGAATGAATTAGAGCTAGAACTAGATCGTCCAGCTGCTGGGTTACTCTCTAAACCCCTGCAGCAGCTGGACAGGGCAAGGGTCAGGAATCCCATCCAGGGCTCCCACAGGGTGACAGTGACCCAAGTACCACTACCTGCTGCCTCCCAGGCACATTAGCAGGAAACTCATCAGAAGCATATGCAGGAGTCAACCCTGGGTGTCCCAGGTGGGCGCTCGTCCTGTGGCACCAACACCCACCACTACTTTCAATTAGAAACAAGAAACACTGAAGAATAGGGACTGAGAGAGAAAGAGGGAAAAAAAAATCCTTGTTTTAAGATAACGTAAAGTAACTTTAAATTACTTTTTTTTTTTTAATTTGAGAGACAGAGAGCCCTGACTCCCTGGTTCATGCCCTAACAGCTGGGGCTAGGCTGAGGCCACAGCCAGTAGTCAGGATCACAACACAGCTCTCCCACAGGCATGACAGGAATCCAACTGCTTTAGCCCTCGCTGCTGCTCCGCAGGATGTACACAGACCTTTCTCGGTGAGTGTGTGCGGTTTCCTGCAGGACTGCACAGCTTCCCAGGAAGCTGTCTCCTCAGGACCAGAGGACCACTACCCGGAGATTGGCGATCCCCTCTCCTGTAACATTCACTAAACACCTAGCACTACATACACTGGGAATCAGTCACCGTCATTCTTTCACCTGACCCCAAGAAGAAACGCAGAGAAGCAGAGGAACTCAACTCGGGCGCTACGCAACAGTGACTGACTGTTCCCCTTTAATACAGCCTTGATCGCAACAAATGTGAAAACTGTTTATGTACTTACATCTTGCCACATGCCTACATATGCTCAGGAGAACTAATGAGTGTGGAAAGTATGACTAGGACTGTTCAGAGATCACAAAAAAATCAGAAACAGTAATGCCTTGTACACACTAAAACTCAAGCAACTGCTTTTCATTGAGGGGGGGCGCTGAATGTTCCAAGATTATATGTAAAATTCTTACTTGAAATATTGATTAACCAGCACCAAATTTCAAGCCTTGGTGTTCTGATTTAGAGAACAAGCACTTGGGTTCCACTGGCCAAAGTCCCTAATTATTCTATTTGCTGTTACATACTGGTAAGTCAAACAACTAGCAATGTTTTTCCTAGGACATTCGAACTGCTCTCCACTGCGTCAGGCACGTGTAGGGTGGCACCAGCACCAACCACTCACTCCCCAGGAACAATGAGTAGCATAGTATTTATAGAGCAACTGCTGGCCAGGGCTCCCTCCACGCTGGCGTACTTTGTTCTGGCTTCAGGAATCTCATCACCAACGAAAAACACATTTAATGATACGGGGAGCTGCTTTTTTTCCTGGCATGTATCACCATTTCCTTAAAAAAAAAAAAAAAAGCCAAAAACTCTAAAGAGCAGCAAGGAAACACAACACGTAATTAAAATAGCCTAAAGTCTGGAGAAGCATACTTTTCCAACTCTAAAAATCAACTGACACAGAAAATGGTCCTTGCATGTAACAGATCATCCAGAATTGTAGGGGCAGCCTCAGGGCAAAGCAGGCCAAGCTGCCACCTGAGATGCTGGCATCCCCCATGAGTCCTGGATCAAGTCCTTGCTGCTCTATTTCTGCCCCAGCTCCCTGCTAATGTACCTGGGGAAGCAATGGAGGATGACCCAAATGCTTGGCTCCTTGCCACTCCCATGGGGAGTCCTGGATGTAGTTCCAGGTTCCTGGCTCTGGCCTGGCCTGGCTCAGCGCCTGACCCATGTGGCCATTTGGAGAGTGAATTTATAGATACAAGTTTTTCTCTCGCTCTGTAACTCTGCCTTTGAAATAAATTATTAAAAATAGCGCAAATTCAGAAAATAATTTGGATGTTCATTTATCAGTTTTTTTAAATACATGGTCTTAGTCAAAAAGGCTGAGAAGTAATTATCATTTATCAGGGTTTTTGTTTGTTTGTTTAATTTTATTTGAAAGCGTTCAGGAGAGACAAAGATAT